TGTAGAAATGCAATAAAAATGGAATCTATGGCTCTGCGAAGATTCAACTTTCGATATTCAAGTGTCGGAAAGGCATAAGAAAATGAATCGTTAAACTCTTTCTTGATAATGTTGTGGCCCTGAAAAGGGCCATTTTTCCAATGCGCTCGGCGTAGTTGCCCTTGCGGAGCAGACGGTGAATACGACCGACTGAGAACTGCAGCAGCTGGGCATTCCATGACGGCGGCACAGTATACCGGAGCACTGGCACCAACGCACTCGGCGTAGTTGCCCTTTCGCCCCCAGGCTCTGCTGCCGTTGCTCTGCTTCCGCTGCTCTGGTACTGCTGCTCTGCTGCTGGGTGGACGATCGGATAGACAATGATGGAACGGACGACCTTGTTGGACGCTTATATAGTAGAACAGAAAATATCAGAGGTGTCAGATACTCGCATCTGATGTCTCGGTTGGAGAAAGTATAAGAATATAAAAAAAAATCAATCGATTTTCACCATCTTTAGACAATGGTTTACTTTTAACCATTTTTCAATAGTTTACAGAATGAAATCAATAGTTTTGAAACATTCAGCAAATTGCTAGAAATATTTCCAATCGATTGATGCCATTATCTCGTAAATCTATCGAAAGACGGTTGAGTTATTATCGTTCAAAATCTTTTAATTTTTCGTAACGCCCTACGCTTTGGTCAGAGAGCGTATAGGGCGTCGTTGTGCCAATTTGGTCGTGGCACATTTCGAGTATGACAGAGTGATTGCAGTTTGCTCAAAAGTGCCTGAGTAAAATGCAAGTATTGTCGATGATTACCCGTAGTTGTTACAGTGAAGATATACACCCATATTCTCGTTTATGTCTGGACGTGTTTGCCATACAGAAATTTTTTTTATTTGATTTTGTGTGGTGGATGGGTTTCGGGCGTGGACAGGCATATGGGTGATAATATTAAGTTTACGTTAGGATAACGTTGAAACATTGAGAAATGTATCGCTTCAGTTTAAGAAGCACTTCACTTCGCAACCGATGAACCATTCTGACGGCCCACATTGCCGTGCAGGCGCCGTGTGTTGGCAGGGTCCAATATTGGACAGTTTGAAGCTTATAAAGTACCATCAGTTAAAACTGTATTTTTGAACTTTATCTCTATACATTCTTAGATGTTTCTTAGTAGATTATCATGTTGGTGTAAGCTGATTCAAAGAGTAAATGGTATTAACATTGAGCTGTCCATAGTTGGGCGTTGTTGAACTTCTGGTACTTGCACAACATTTCATGTGAATACCAAAGTAACCATATAATCACAAAATAGCTTTAGGTGTGGGTTCAGAGTGGTACAATGTCACTGAGATATGGTTAGTTGGGTATTCAGATGAAACTATTATTTTAAAAAAACTAATCCTGGTTGTATCTCTTTTTCGTTTTTTCGTTTGCATGTAACACTGTTTGATATTACTAACTGCACCGAGCCTTCATTCCGGGTGGTAAGCGAACCTGAAGAAGAAGAAGAAGACCATAAACCCTTCTCGGAACGAGTGTTTTGTTAGTGGACCTGGTCTGCGATTCAAGGTTGGACTCTGTGATGATAAGTATCACATAACAGGTAAAGTAGGCAGCACCATCTTTATCGAAATGTAAGTATTATTGACAATAATCATAACTAGATTATATGCAAATTTATATGATAGGTACCTGGATCAACGTTGTTTAAACATGCGCATTCAATCGTGACGGCATCTATTTCTGCATTTTAAACCTACCCAACCCTTTTCCTTTCTACAATCCCTGAGCCGCTGGTTCACCATAAGTGTACCTCGCAGAACTTTTTTAACCCCCATGGGTAAAGATGCTGTGTTGCTCACTCCTCTCCCCTTCCCTGGTGTATTATGGATGGTGTGAATATTCACATCAGTGACATGGCCCCTGACCCCCTTGTACATCATAAAATGAAAATGAAAATGAAAATGAAATCTTTTAATTTTTCGTAACGCATCCAAAATGACTGTTTTCAATTTTGTACCCCCGTATGTTGCCGAAAGACGTTATCCAACGTCAAAAGCATTCACTAGTACAGGTTTGAGAGGTGTTTGTTCGTGAGCCAAATATATGGTTGGACAAATATTTAGGTTTATCAGTAAAAAGTGATCAACTTCAACCCGTTTTACGGTACATATTCTGAGACACACACTATACACAATAAGGTGTAGCGTTACTTCATCAAATGGAACTCATTACAGTCGCATACCAAAAACATAATGAAGACAGGAAAAATTACGTCTTCATCCTTAAGGACAAGTAGACTTTATCCCAAGAAAAATTACTGAGAATTCGGCCTAAATATGCTTTGAGTTGCCTATAACGCCTATAGCCGAAGACAACATATCAAGAAGGCTGGCAACTTTGCCTGAATCCAAGCGACAGACACAGTAGCGCTGCGCTCTAGCAAAGGTGGAAGCAATGCATAGAATAATGAGAAAATATACAGACCTTTGCTATCCAATTCGTTCGAAGCATTTACCTTTGAGCGGCAGATGACGCGATTCTGCCTGTCTCATACCGGACGTATGAGAAAATGGAAGAGTTGCCAGTCTTCTTGATATGTTCTCTTCGCTATAACCGTACATCTGTTCGCAAATGAAAAATTGTAATGATCTAGCAAAAGGTCCTCACATCTATAAAGTTAATTCACCATGTAAAATTATTGAATGATGTGAATGATGTTCACTAAAAATATTCGAGAAAGCGGAAAGCGTTTAACTCAGTTTTTTCACAACCATTATTGTCCAAAAGTTGGACAACTTCAAATTGGTGTATTTCTATTAAAAATGCATAAAAAAACCTGAAATGCTGCATTTGGAAGTTGAGTGTATATACAATGGTTGCTATGATGAGTTTACACCGTTTGCTCTCCAGTTTTCAAAATGAAGTCCAAGCAAGAGGAGTCGCGTGTCAAAATTTTGCTCGCGCCAAGTTGGCAAAATTGCTGGATGTGGCCAAATCGACCGTGACAAACGTTTGGGGAGCGTCTTTTGACCACCAGGAAGCCCAGAAGCGGCGACAATCGTAATCCGGACGTGGCAGCGACGACGAAAAAGGTGACGGTGAAATATAAGCGGAATTCTAACCTCTCCATCCGGGACGTCTCTGGCAAGCTCAATGTCTCCCATACTACTGTGCACTAGGCCACGAAACGAGCCGGATTGTCGACGTTTAAGAAGGTGAAGGTGGCGAACCAAGATTACAAACAAAACACACCATACTGTTGGTAATACCATAGAGGTAACTCTAAGACTAGTAGCAACAATCAATACGAAACTAACGATTTTAAATTGGCTCACTACTTGACTAGCCTATTGGTCCCAAGCAAACGATTAACGTACCCCATTCTAGTTGAAATTCTAGTACTACGCAATGTTTGTTTTGATTTGCTATGAAAGTTTGACAGATAAAATGAGGGGTTAGTGGAATTTCCTATGTTTCGAGGGGTGATTAGCTTGGGACCGAAGACCCGGTGGTCTTAGAGTTACCTCTATGGTATTAGTACATGAGACAAATATTTGTCTTAATTTGACAGATACATTAAATGTATCTGTCAAATTAAGACAAATATTTGTCTCATGTACTAATACCATAGAGGTAACTCTAAGACCACTGGGTCCCGAAGAAAATCAAAACAAACATAGTGTAGTAATAGAATTTCAACTAGAATAGGGTACGTTAATCGTTTGCTTGGGACCAATAGGCTACTAAAGTGGTGAGCCAATTTAAAATCGTTAGTTTCGTATTGATTGTTGCTAATACCTTTAGGAAAATCCACGAACCCCCTCATTTTGTCTGTCAAACTTTCATAGCGAATCAAAACAAACACAGTGTAGTACTAGAATTTCGACCAGAATGGGGTACGTTAATCGATTTACTTGGGACCAATAGGCTAGTCAAGTAGTGAGCCAATTTAAAATCGTAAGTTTCCACCGGTTGGTAATACCAACAATCAATACGAAACTAACGATTTTAAATTGACTCCGAGATTGACTCACTACTTGACTAGCCTATTGGTCCCAAGCAAATCGATTAACGTACCCCATTCTAGTCAAAATTCTAGTACTACACAATGTTTGTTTTGATTCGCTATGAAATTTTGACAGATAAAATGAGGGGTTCGTGGATTTTCCTAAAGGTATTAGCAACAATCAATACGAAACTAACGATTTTAAATTGGCTCACCACTTTAGTAGCCTATTGGTCCCAAGCAAACGATTAAAGTACCCTATTCTAGTTGAAATTCTATTACTACACTATGTTTGTTTTGATTCGCTGTGAAAGTTTGACAGATAACATCAGGGGTGTGTGGATTCATGCAGAACATGCAGGGGTGAGTGAAATAGCTTGGGACTGCTTGGGACCGTTGTTCTGGTACTGAGTGAGCCAAAAATAATAATGATTTTCTTCGGGACCCAGTGGTCTTAGAGTTACCTCTATGGTAATACCGTGCCTTTACTGACTAGGCTATGAGGCCCCCTGGAAATGTTTGTTGGGGTACCTTAAAAATGGTTTATTAGTTCTAAATCTTTTGTTTAATTTATTTTCAAGTAACTTTTAGAACTTGTTAAAGTGCACATTTTTGTCGAATAAAGTAAATCGACATCTTTTAAATGTCAACTACGTAGTTATCATTTTACGGACCATGTACGCTTTCCGTGCAATATTATTTACTAGAATACATTTTTAAACCGCTAAAATGTGCACGGTAGAATGTAACACCATGGCATGTAAAAGGTTGTATAACAATCCTTTTCCAACAAGAACGTTATCAATGCCTAACTCACTCCTGAGATGTTAGATTATAAGAATTTTGAAAGAATTATGTATCTCATTAAATCGAAACAATTTTTTGTTCATCAAAACAAAACACAGTTCTTATATTATATTGAACCTAGGTATTAGTATGCAAAAGCTTACAATTACTTCTGTATCTATAAATTTATTTTTCCAAACAAAAAAGTATTTCACAGCGTTTGAAGACGACAACAGCATCCTTATTGAATCTGGTGATTAACCGGATCGAACAAGTCAGTCTTGTGATCCGCCACGTTCGGTCTAGATTCGTAGGTGCAGATTGTTACTCCGTGATGATGTGCCTCGCTAAATTCCCCCTTCAGCCCGATGTAATAAACGGTGGTATTAGGATCGCCATAGTTCGTTGGAAAGTGAATTGATAGATGATAAACGGAGGAAAATGTGACGACTCTAAAAAGAAGATGGTAAACGTATCTACGACAGTCGTTCGATCTGTATAGCACTCACTTGGTTGAATATTCAATGACGCCATTGGAGTCCATCTCGAGTTCATATTCCTGATCTGCCTGAGCTCCCACATCATCAAAGGTCATCTTTGGCCGATTTTTAAACCTAAAAAATAGATTCCGTTGTAATAGACAATAATATGATAGCAATCAAAATCACTTACAGTCTCATCTTCTTCGGATGGCTATCGTCATTCGCACCGACCACGATGATCCCCTTCAGCTTGACGTTCCCGGTGAAAGGAATATTAAACAGCAGCTCTTCGTCGGCATCGCTGGTGACAAACTTATCGAAATCCAACCGCTGATTGTACGGTTTGAATACCGTCTTACCGGATCCTTCCGTTTCCTCGTTCAGGCACTCCACATTTATCATGTCGATTTTCTCGTACAAACTGTATTGGATGCCCATTTCAAGCTCATCGTCGATTCCGAGCGCTTCGTGGGCACAGGCCCCGCCGTGGCCATGTGGGTGATTGTGGGACATTCCGATGGAAGCGAATAATTCCGTAATCAACAAAGGACGCTATTTTTTCGAGATTACGATTTTCGTTCTAAAAAAGATCATAACAAAAACAATCAGCCGCTTTCGGTTTCGGTTTCGCGATGACATTTAATTTTTTAAGCGTTCGTGTAAGCGACGGTTCGTTTGTTCGAAGCAAAGTAGGTAAAGCGTTTGCAGTGCTTCGAAGTATTTGGTACGAAACGATAGTACACTAAAGTCGCTTTTTACACGGCCAACTCCAATAACTCAGCGACTGAATTCAATCAACAATCAATACGAAACTATCGATTTTAAATTGGCTCACTCTTAGGGGTAAGACAACTGCACTCAGAGTTAATATATATGCAGTGAGTAAATTTGAGTTACTCATATTTACTCAAAAACAAACAAAGAAGTCTAATATTTTTCATCAAATAATATTAAAACAATCCCCGTCTGAGAGAAGGTTTTGATTTCAAGATTGTTTAGGTCTCTTTTGCTTTCTAGGATGGATGGCTAAAGTGTAATGTCTGAAGTTTTTGGTGATGTGGTGGTGCTAGTGTTTCCATATCCCAGCCATTTATAACTACCCGGGCATCTTAAAATAGCTGAAGACTCTTCCCGGAAATCGGGAAATATTTAAGGTAGTTATTTATTAAAATTTGAACTTCTTCAGGATTTCTCCCGGAAGATTTTCCGACAATTTCTGGAAGTTTCTTCCAACTTCCCCTTGAAGATTTTGACCAGCTTCTTCAGAAGGATTCTTATGATTTCTCTGGGAGGTCTCGTCTGACTTTGCACGAAAGTTTCTTCCAACATCTCCTGGAAGTTTTTTTTTTAAACTTGCCCTGGATCATCTTTTCATTCCAACAGTATCAGATTACAATCAGAAGTCCTACCGCTGGAAGTCGAAACTATTTCCCATTTCATCCGGACTTCCAACGGAAAACTTTTCTGAATTATTCTGAATGTTTCATCCGGCTGCCTAAATTTGCATGGAAGTCTCTTCTAACTTCGTCCGGGAGTTTCCCACAGATTGTGTCAGAAGCGTCTACCGGTTTCGTTTGAAAGATTCTTCACCAGGAAGCTTTCCTGCCTTCGCACTAAAGATTCGTCAAACTTTCTCCGGAAATTTCTATCAATTTTCCCCAAAAGTTGTGTGGTCATTTTTAATATAACATATGTTTATCATGGTTTTCGTATAAATAAACTGCTTCTCGGGAAGTTAAACTAGTTTTCTGGGAATCGGGAAATGATAATTCTGGTAAATTGCCCGGGAAGGAAATACTAGATGGTGTGATTTCAAGCCTAAGGAAGTAAGAATTTGGCTAAATGTTTTCAGGAGATTAATTTAGCTCATGAAAATTAATACTCAATCTCACAAAATCGGTCAAAGAGGTTTCATATTTTGTTGCACTACATGCCTGAAATGAGGAAACTCTTTCGTGATTAGCAACATTTTATTTGCCAGCATTCATTAAGGAAGAGGGGTTTAAATCTCTGAGAATATTTAGCTGGAAAATGTCAGAGTTAGAGTCAACTATCTCCAGAAGCGTTCGTTGTTTTCCCTGATACTAATGCAAAAAGACATTAATAGACACGAGTTGAAAAAGGTTGAACAGGAACAGGTTGAATTTTCCTCGTCTGGTGTTGTTGTGTTTATCGATATTTAACCCAAAAGGAGCATTGTTGAATGCAGTCTTTTATTTCATTGTTCATCCCAGGTCCAAATAGGTTAGTTCTGGCCAACTTCATAGTTGATTCTATTTTGAAACTTAAATGAAGTTTGTCGATGAGCGATCGTCGAAAGAGTGTATGAAGGATCAAATACCATTTTTTAATACTGGGATTGTCCACAATCTACCTTTGAATTGATTGGATTATATGGAATCCCCCCTGGACAGTCATGAATCCCCCTCAATAGTGAGTGCAATTCTTCCTGTGATTGTCCGGAGTCCTTCCTGGGATAGTTCATATTCCTTCTTTGGATTTTCCGAAGTTACCTTAGATATTGTTGGGAAACCGAACTGGGATTGTCTGAAATTCCCCCTAGGCTTGTTCGGGATCTCTACTGAGACTGTCATAAATCCTCTTTGCGATTGACTGGAACCCTCCTAGAGATTGTACAAAATCCCCCTGTAATAGAACGTCATCGGCATGGCAGTAAAGCAAGACAGCTCTGACTGTTGCGTAAGGTCACCATAGAAATCTTCCATCGATTTTAAAGGAACAGCTTGTAGTTCCTTTCATACACGTGCAATTGCCCTTTGATTGCTGAAAGATTTTCCCAGTAAAGCTTTGCAAGCGCACCGTTTAAAATGTTGTTGCTTTGCTTTGCTTGACAGTATCGGTTGCTATGTGTATTTTATGTTGAGCAATGCGAGTTACTCAGAGTTACTCAAAATTAACTCCCATTTTACTCATGATCAAAAGCTGTCTTGCCCCAAGGGCTCACTACTTGACTAGCCTATTGGTCCCAAGCAAATCGATTAACGTACCCCATTCTAGTCGAATGTTTGTTTTGATTCACTATGAAAGTTTGACAGATAAAACTAGGGGTTAGTGGATTTTCCTATGTTTCGAGGGGTGAATCGATTAGCTTGGGACCGAAAATAGTACCAGAGCTGAGCCAAAAAGTTGAGCACGTTTTTTTCGTGACCTTCTAGTCTTAAGCTGGGTTTAGACTAGGCAAGTCAAATGATCAACTCAGTTGAATCATAGAGGTAACTCTAAGACTAGAAGGTCCCGAAATAACGTGCTCAACTTTTTTGCTCAGCTCTGGTACTATCTTCGGTCCCAAGCTAATCGATTCACCCCTCGAAACATAGGAAAAACCAATAACCCCTCATTTTATCTGTCAAACTTTCATAGAGATCTCCAAGCGCAATCTCACGAACACTAAAATCCAACATCCATATATAAAAATGAAGAAGAAGAAGAACCTAAAAGGTATCGCGATATCACTACTACTTAAAAAGGTAGCGCGCGGTCTCACGCACACTTTTGTGCATCTGGAGAACTCTATAGCGAATCAAAACAAACATTGCGTAGTACTAGAATTTCGACTAGAATGGGGTACGTTAATATTTTGCTTGGGACCAATAGGCTAGTCAAGTAGTGAGCCAATTTAAAATCGTTAGTTTTGTATTGATTGTTGGTTGAATTCAATAGGCTTAAAAAGTTGAGCCTGGTTCAACTTTTTTTCAATTCAAGTGAATTGATCAAGTCAGTTGAATGGCATGGCTTACACGTTCAATTCGCGTTCAAGTCAGTTGAATTCAAGTGACTTTATCAATTGACTTGCCCTGTCTAAACCCAGCTTTAGAGTTACGTCTATGATTCAATTGACTCAGAGCATTTTCTTTCCATTTTAAATTTACTCATATTTGGAAAAAAAAACTGCAGTTACTCATTAGCCACAGACATAACTCTTAGAAGAAAATTCTTCAAAAAATATCGTCAAGCATATTTTGCATGCGCACTAGCACCAACAATCAATACGAAACTAACGATTTTAAATTGGCTCACCACTTTAGTAGCCTATTGGTCCCAAGCAAACGATTAACGTACCCTATTCTAGTTGAAATTCTATTACTACACTATGTTTGTTTTGATTCGCTATGAAAGTTTGACAGATAACATCAGGGGTGTGTGGATTCATGCAGAACATGCAGGGGTGAGTGAAATAGCTTGGGACTGCTTGGGACCGTTGTTCTGGTACTGAGTGAGCCAAAAATAATAATGATTTTCTTCGGGACCCAGTGGTCTTAGAGTTACCTCTATGCTAGCACCATCTATCATCCACATTCCCAAGCATTGATGTGCAACTAGACCATCCCATGCCATTTTTTCACCAGTTGCTTTTCCCTCGTTCTGTCAACGCGTCCGCTGTGTTGAATAAAAACAAAACAGATGGAAGTCAGTGATGTCGGTTCTACTAAATTTTCCGTAGATCTGTAGAATTGATTGAATTCTGCAGAAATACGGATCCGTAGGAAAAATTCACAGAAGCTAAGACTTTTTTTTAGGGATTTGTTTTGTTTGTTTATTGTGCTTTTTCTTTTGCTCGAAACAAGTTTTTAAACGAGGTTATGTATCACTAATTAGTGCCCTTTCTACCACCTCTCATCACCTTAATGTGTGTACAGCAAACAATTATCAATCAATTAAATTCATGGTGAAGTATTGAACATCAATAACTGGTAAAAGGGGTAAAAGTTGATAGAATATTGCAGTCATCAACATGATTTGTTCTCGCATTCTGTGTTAATCTTACAGCGTAATATTTTAATTAATTAATAGGAACGGAATGACTAATGTGCAGCACTTTCGATGTAACATTCAACAACTTTTTTTTCTGTATTCGTCAGATGTGGTATGTGTCTCCAGTTGGGATGCCTTGACCACCTATCATTTTCAAGTGCTGACATCTACTATCTAGACATGAAAAAGAACTGGCATCACTGATAAGTTCGAAATTTGGTGGTTTGCTCAATGCTTCAGTGGCGCCATCATGACAAATGCAAGCACATTCCCAACTAAAACATTATTTGCGATGAATGTGATTGTGAGTGTTATGTCTGTTTGTCTGTGGTTTAGAGATATCTAACCATGTGTCGCTAATGTAACATGTAGCTTCTCATGGTCTAACTCGACAGCTCAAATAGATAGGTGGCTGTTTTCTTTTGGCTAAGTTGTTAGGATGGACAACCCAAGTAATCAAAAGTTCTGATAAAAGGCTATTTATGGCTTAAGCACCTTGGTTGAAGGTGGTCTATAGAATTCTAAGCAGCCTCATTTTTAAGTCGTTATAAGAACTTGAAAGTTCCGGTACCATAATTGAAGAGCATTCTAAGCAGCCTCTGGCTGAACTTGAACGAAACTTTTAGAAAATAAATTAAAAAAAGTTTTTGTCCTCTACACCAATTCTATATTTAGTTCACACTTTTATGAAAGTTATTTCTAAAGGCAGGTATTAATGTGTATTGATTTATCAGCATTGGTTGTAGTAGAAATGGAGCTGATGGAAGAATTAAACCCAGTCCTTCTGCGTGAGAGTCTCAGCACGAACCACTACGTCATCTGAAATATATAAAAGTGAGCTGTTGTCCCGCCTATTGTTGGAGTTTTCTGAGCCAGCTGACTGACTTGAATACGAAACACAACACCTTGATGAATTTAAATTGGTATTTGCCCACATGGTATTCCATCACAATTATGGCGCAGTGGTTAGCAATCGTAGATCACATGCCGAATACATGGGTTCGAATCCAGGAAATTACTTTTCAATTTTTTTTTATTTTTGGATAGAGTGTTGCATAAATATAAGAATTATGATTAAATACTTATTATTTCATATATTAAATTACATTAATTTTGTTACAAAAAAAGATTTGTGCGGATTGCTTCATGTGGCTTGAAAGTTCTGTCGGAACTTTATTTGAATTTTATGGAACTTGGAAGTGTTGAATGCGGAACTTTTGGTTACTTGGGAAGACCTATAGTGGACAGTTATGTTGAGAATTCCTCCATCACATGGCGTTTGTGAACCAACCCATCAAAAAATTGCACTGATTTGAGGCTTAATAGCAACTTAAAATTTTATTTATTTATTTATTTATTTCGTCAACCAACGTAGACTAGTACAACTAATACAGTTTTGTTTTCTTAAATATATATTTATATAAAAAAAGTAGTGTCAGCTTTCTTGTCTTTTCTTTTATGAGTTGTTATTTCTTATGGAATAAAAATATTGCTTTAGTTTATGCCGAGACATTGTAAACAGTAGTGCAGCAGAACAGTACGAGTACAAAATAATGAAACTGGCTGAGATCTTCCCTTTATTTTCATTTGTATTTTCTTATATTTTGACGTAGGACTACGTCTGTGATTTATATATGGGGGTACACTTTGTGAAAACCGAAAATGGAACATGTAACAAAATTATGAAAGATTTTGAACGCTAATAACTCAACTGCCCTTGGACCAATTTCAATAATTTTATCACCAATCGATCAGAAATATTTCTACGCATCTGTCAAATTTAAGACGTTATCATTTTTCAAAATGTCATCATTGAAAATTTCACGAATGTGCAACTGTTGCTTTGAGTACCGATTGCCTGTGAAAAGCTATTTCCCTAACACAGATTTCAAAGTTTAATTCCATCCGGTCTCACCAAACGGTGTTTAATTCAATCACAGCGTGGTGAGTGCTGGTGTTCTCCAGCATATAACGAAGGGCTATTTGGAAGCAACGAGCTGCAGCCCACATGAGCATCCAAAGAAATAAGAAGAAGCCGCACCGCTATTGATCGGAATCAGTAGTTCTTCGTGAGTTGCTGGGGGGCAACTATGCCAAGCGCGTCATACTGAAGAGTAAACCCCGCTCAAATGCCTATTCCTACACAAAACACAAACTCCTGCTGCAGTTAACAAATAAGTTTTATTATATAAGACCACGTAGTTCTACGTCACCATTGGTACAACCAACAATCAATACGAAACTAACGATTTTAAATTGGCTCACTACTTGACTAGCCTATTGGTCCCAAGCAAATCGATTACGTACCCCATTCTAGTCAAAATTCTAGTACTACACTATGTTTGTTTTGATTCGCTATGAAAGTTTGACAGATAATATGAGGGGTTAGTGGATTTTCCTATGTTTCGAGGGGTGAATCGATTAGCTTGGGACCGAAGATAGTACCAGAGCTGAGCCAAAAAGTTGAGCAAGTTTCTTCGGGACCTACCAGTCTTAGAGTTACCTCTATGGTACAACCACATACCACAACCACTAGAGGAAAATTGAATATCACTTTCAACGAGCAATCATTTATAAATAACAATGCAGCGGAACGTGCGGTACGAGATGCCACGTTTCATCCATTTATTGGATTCTGAAGCATCGTGTTTTAATCTTTGATTTTAACAGGCCCGATGTATCTGAATCATCTTGCCCCTTAAATGCTGCACAGTAGGCCTGACCGGTTTGATGTATTTTGCGCATCTCTGATGTTCAAAATATACCAAATAGACAAGAAAAAGGATGGAAATATATCTATAATTTTCCAGGATGCTTTCATGAACTGGCTGTGTTGGTGTTAGATTAGATTATATTAGATTAAATTTGTTTAGAAGTAGAACCACAAACGAAGTGACAGACGGAGCGGCTCGAAAACTTTGGTGACTAACCTGCTATTGCAATTTTTCAGTGTACCACATGGCAACACCACTACTACTGGATTGTACCACATGGCAACACTACTATTGGATTGAACTAGCATTTTCACCAAATGTACTAGAATATTTTGGTTCTATCTCTTTCACTCTACTCAAAACTGAAATGCATAAAAAAATGACAAAATGATACGCACTCTTTGCACACTGTCAAAGAATCATTGTACACAAAATCAGCTTTGTTCAAATCAAAACAAAAAAACTAACCCATCTGGTGGATGATGGCACAAGCTTCCAAGAAAATTCTATTACAGTGAACCACATTATTTAAATGGATTTCTTCGCCAGTAAGTCGTCTGTCACTTCGTTTGTGCTATAAGTCTATAAGTATTGTCTATCAATGTTTGCTTTAATATCAACCCTAGTATTACACTTCTTTTACGATGCAAAGCTTTCAATGTTATACCAATGCATTGCTTGAAACATGCGCAGATGAACCAAAACGTTGTACTTGGCATAAAAGCGATTGTAATCTGTGAATCGAACCTAAATAGGTAATGGAGTAACGAAAATTCCAGGGAGGAATCCTTACAACGGTCGACCATACATGCCTTTGGAACGATTGACTCAACTGTTGTGCACATCTTCGAGATCGTATTCTATGGACGAGCCATTTCCCTTCAACAAGTACAGAAAACTTCTTGTAGGAAAAAACGTCCTACAGTGTGCAACTCCATGCAAGACCGTATCAAAAGCTGACTCAGGATGATGAACAGTAACACAAGTGTGAACGAGTAAATCACCTGATGGTATGAATGAATCATTTTACTGCACGTGGGAGCTTGATTACTCAATCAAGGAATGCATTTCGTATTGTTCGAAATGAAGCAAATTTCCAAGGGAATACAATATCCTTCCCGGTTGTCCTTAGCAACTGCACTTGCAAACACTGGTGTAATCTTTGCTAGGCACACAATAACAATGACTTTCAAATCCAAATGTGTGAGTAAGTGGAGTACTACCCACCCACCCCCTTGCAGGAGGATGTGATGGAGCTTGAGCAGAGAGTTCAACACTAATGGCGCGCTACTATGTAGGTATAGAATTCCTGCTACAACAACGACGAGCAATGTCCCGGTACGTCGCGAACCAGCAGCGACGACCCGCACCACAATGGTCCTCAGTCGGAATTCTCTCACTCATTCGGTTCGTCACCGTCGAACGTATCGGACACGCGAAGAAAAACCGGTTGCACCTTGCAAGGACGCGCCAAAAAAAAATCCTCTCCCCAGAGGTGCTAAACTTTTCCAACATTCAGTGAAGAAGGAAATCGGTGTTCAGATAAGATCTGCCTTTTTGTCGAAAGTAGTGTTTCGGTGTGAAACGACGTCGACCCCATTTTGGTAGGCAAATGTAAAGTGCAAAGTGAAGCCAGTGAAAATTTATCCCGGTCGAAGCAACGATGGCTACGGGAAAATCCATACCAACTTTCTCTGGAAAGCTTCTGTTTTGCTCGTTTTGTTGTGCCTATTCTGTAAAGCAGCGCTGCCATTGCGTCACATACCTATAGAGAACAGAGAGGGAGAAAACGGATGCAGTTTTTCTCCCGCTGACGGGCTGCCTGCCACCCTCAGCATGTTACTGTTGTTGTTGTTGTTGTTCTTGCTTGCTACTGGAACTGCCACTGACTGATGCTGCTGCTGGGGGCAATATTTGTAACTCACTCTCGATGATGGATCGGGACGCTGGGCTGGGATAGAGGAGATGCATTTCACGAGACGGTGACGCTTTGATTGCAATTATTTTTGCATCCTCTCTCTTGTTCCGGTTTTTTCTACTCACTACGCTATAGTACTACGGTTGATGTAATTGATGATGGTAGCTTTTTTTTTCCACACCGCCCGGTCTCAAGTGGTTCCCTATACCTGCATATCTACTACACAATATTCTATTAGGTCATCATCATCCTCGTGATCATCACTGTGGGGTGTAAGGCACCGTGTGGGGTTCGTTTCCAATATGAACCTACTCGCACGAACGATGAAATGTGCTGATCGAAATGTAATAAATCTATTCTTGGTATACTTTAATTGGACCGGCCAGGAGGGTGGATTCCGTTGATGATTCTGCTGGCTGTAATGATATAATTGTAATAACGACGGAGATGTACGGTCGGTTAAGAATGGCTGGAGAAGGACTGACTAACTAAATAAATATAATCAACGTTAATCATGATGAAGTGTCGTGGAGCTTGATAATCTAGGCGAAAGTGGCGAAAGGAACTGAATTATGCAGTGACAAATTGCTCCGATTTCACATGCTTTATCTATGACAAGGCTGGGTTGGAAATGTGACTGACTAGAAAGGATTCTTTCGATGGTGCGCGAATGGCAGTAATGAAAATTGGTATTATTTTTTTAGAGTGGCTCTGTCTTATTAACGGTTTATAGAGCGTTTCTCAGAAACCAATATTTTGTCACAGGCTTGTTGAGACCCGTTTGGTCAGTTATTTTTTGACGTAGGACTACGTCTGTGCTTTCTATATGGGAGTACACTTTGTGAAAAACGAAAATGGAACATGTAACAAAATTACGAAAGATTTTAAACGTTAATAACTCAGCTGTCCCTGGACCAATTTCAATAATTTTATCACCAATAGATCAGAAATATTTCTACGCATCTGTTGAATATAAGACCTTATCATTTTAAAAAATGTCATTATTGAAAATTGCACAAATATGCAATTGTTGCTGTTGCTGTTAATAGTTAAAATTATCACCGATTGCCTGCGAAAAGCGATTTCCCTAACGCAGATTTCAAAGTTGAATTCCATCCGGTCTCACCAAACGGTGCTAATTCAATCACCGCGTGGTGAGTGGTGGTGTTCTCCAGTACATAACGAAAGGCTCTCCGCGAGCTGCAGCTCACATGAGCATCCATAGAAGGAGGAAGAAGCCGCACCGCTATTGATCGGAATCAGTAGCGTCATACTAAAGACTATAAACAGAGAGTACCCCGCTCAAATTCCTATTCTTACACAAACACAAGCTTTTGCAGCAGTTAACAAATAAGATTTTTTATATAAGACTACTTTGTCCTACGTCACCATTGCGTACAACCCCATAGGGCTGTCCCTTGTAGTTTTTTAAATCCATTTTTCATCTGACGTCCCACAATCCACAATGGGTAAACATTGGCCAAATTTTTTTAAATTATATTTTGTACTTGTAAGTTACAAGAAGAGGTTGTAAAGTATGTGTTTGACACATGTCAATTTCGCTTTCAGAGAATCGCAAGAATCGATCATATAATCGCTAATTGTGACTCTCTGAAAGCGAAATTGACAGGTTTTATGTGCCAAACACATTCTTCAAAACGGAAGCTGTGCACAGTTCGAAATAACTACTTTTACATGAAACGTAATCCATATTGAACGTAAATCATGAAACGTAAACAAACATGTCATGTAAAATTAAGCGAAGAGAACGTTTTATTGAAATAATTTTCTCGTTTCTTTCAACTGATTCTTATGTCAAAAGGGTCGCTCACATGGGTCGGTCTCAGGGAACCTAAATTTACATGCCTTTTTCGTAGTGTGTGGAAACGTAATATTAAAACGATGAAATGCTACTTAAACCCTGGAAAAATGCTCTTTTATTACGTAGCTACTCAGATTTACTATTCTGCCCGAAAGCCAACAGTCTCTTCGTCGCATCGATTTGGTCGATTGAAGCTGATATTGTGACGCCCTGGTCCTGGGTTCAATCCCAGTCGGCACTGCCGGGATGTTCTGAGGCATAACATCTCTGATCACGCCTTCCTTCGGGAAGTAAAGCCGTTGGTCCTCGGTTCATGAGTTGATGAGTCGATAGTTAGGGTCCAGAAGTGGGAGCTGCCTCCCTGGCGTCGATAGCATTGGTGCTCAGCACGGAAAACCAGATCAACGGAAAACAAATCATGGGAAAAACATTTTTCCTCGATCGATTCTGATCAATCCAATTTTTCCAGATTACTTAGGTTTTAAGTCTTTTGTGTGAATGACACTGATAAAGACTGCACATAGTAGTCGAAATACGTATCTGTCATGGATACCGAAATTAATTAAATGGAATTAAATAGAAGATAACCGTTTTTGCTATTTATGTAAATTATCAATTTTGGGGTATTTGATCATGCATTTTATGCAATGCAATATTCAGAAGTTATCATTTTTTTTACTTGATTTGCGTTCGCTGAACAAGAATCTTGTATTTAAATTTCAACAAAAAATGTAGTTAACGAAAAAACTGCGTATGCTATTGCAAAATAGTTAAGAATACGCCTAAATGTAGGCATTTTATATCATTTTTGTGACATGAAATCGTTCATTTTAACCAAATCTGATTTCAGATTCCGATTCAGTGACCCAACATTAAGTAAAATAAATAATTTCACCGAACACAGCACCAGAATATATCTCTTTTAGTTCGTGTTCTATCTACGCTTTCGACTATACCAGCAAGCAATTTATTTATATCATTGGAGAACGACGCACACACTTGCCACGATTCTCTCCAATTCCAGTTCAGCAGCAAAGCATATGAAATCGAGTGATCGTACTGTGAGCGCTTCTTATTCGCTTATGCTTCTTTCGAAGCATGAAGAGAGCAGTGGAGAAAGCATAAGTCTGAAAATTGCAACGTTCGTGTTTCGAGTCCTGTCGGCAACGTTTTTCTATTTTTTCGACATGATTCATTTTACTCACTAATACCACAAACGAAGTGACAGACGACTAACTGGCGAAGAAATCAATTAAAATAATGTGGTTCGCTGTGATAGAATTTTCTTAGAAGCTTGTGCGATCAGCCACCAGATGGGCTAGTATTTTTGTTTTGATTTGAACATAGTTGATTTTGTGTGCAATATGATCTTTGACAGTGTACTAGAATGTTTTGGTTCTATCTCTTTCACTCTACTCAAAACTGAAATGCATAAAAAAATGAAAAAATGATACACTCTTTGCACACTGTCAAAGAATCATTGTACACAAAATCAACTTTGAGCAAAAACAAAACAAAAATACTATCCCATCTGGTGGATGATGGCACAAGCTTCTAAGAAAATTCTATTAAAGCGAACCACATTATTTTAATTGATTTCTTCGCCAGTTAGTCGTCTGTCACTTCGTTTGTGTTAATGCACTCCACATTTCTAGCATTGGATCGCAACTCGGTATATCTCTTCATCCGTTCATGCGGTCTCTACCAACATCTTGCGATGATGAATTTCATATTATTGTAAGCAAATCTTACGGGTTGGGTGTACTTTTTTATGGTCACTTTAAAGCTTGGTTTAGACTAGGCAAATCAAATGATCAACTCAGTTGAATTCAATTGGCTTGAAAAGTTGAGTCTGGTTCAACTTTTTTCAATTCAAGTGAGTTGATCAAGTCAGTTGAATGGCATGGTTTACACGTTCAATTAGCGTTCAAGTCAGTTGAATTCAACTGACTTGATCAATTGACTTGCCCTGTCTAAACCCAGCTTAAAGCTGGGTTTAGACTAGGCAAGTCAAATGATCAACTCAGTTGAATTCAATTGGCTTGAAAAGTTGAGGGTCTTTAAGCTGGGCTTAGAAAAGGCAAGTCAATTGATCAAGTCAGTTGAATTCAACTGACTTGAACGCGAATTGAACATGTAAACCAAGCCATTCAACTGACTTGATCAATTTGAATTGGAAAAAGTTGAACCAGGCTCAACTTTTCAAGCCAATTGAATTCAACTGAGTTGATTATTTGACATGCCTAGTATAATCCCAGCTTAACTGTCATTCGTGACTTGTCCGGACATGAGACAGATACCTACAAGTAAATTTGTCGAAAGGCACTAGACCGAACGCTGGTGCTGGTGTGTCATTGGAGCGAATATTATCAGGTGGTAGGTTGATAGGGTGATAGGGTTAGTACCCAAGTAATATTTAACGTTTTATGAAGTACTACAAGGCTTCAATAAAACAACATTAATAAAACCATGGTCAAGATAGCTTTGCCTTTATTACATCCACCAAAACCTCATTAAGGCTAGAATCTGGCCTACCCTGAAGAAGGTTCTAAAGAGTGCATTATCGAGACATTTCAATGATGACTTGCTGCAAAAAGGTTATATGACGAATGCTTTGAGAACCATTTGAAATCCTTATTAAAAGTACTATAAAAGCCATTTAGTACCAATACTTGTGCCCAGTGTTGGGAAAATATCAAAAAATCAAATTTCACCAACGCCCAAGATCACGCTTGATTTTCGTAGACAAAAATCAACAAGCAAACAACTGCGGTTGATTTTGCAAGCTGTGGTATCGCAGCTCGGAATATCAAGCTAACAAAACTCACCAACTGCAAATCTCACCAGACTGTGGTGAGATTGAG